AGCCTCTTCCTGTCCCAGAATAGCCATGGCAAGTGGTTAGCCTAGACTTCATCACCGGGTTACCACCTACCACCAGCAGTCATGACGCAATCCTTGTCGTCATTGACAAGTTCTCCAAAATGGGACACTTCATCCCGACACACACGACGGCACGCACCGAGGAGACAGCACAGCTCTTCGTTCGTCATATCATCTCACAGCATGGCATCCCAACCACACTCATTTCCGACCGAGACCCCAAGTTCACCAGCAAGTTCTGGAAGGAACTTATGTCTCTTCTCGGGACCAAACTCGGTATGTCATCCGCATACCATCCGCAGACAGACGGACAGACCGAGCGCCTCAACCAAATTGTCGAGCAACTCCTCCGAGCAGCCTGCAAGGACGACATCTCCAAATGGGACTTACACCTGCCCGTACTAGAGTTTGCTTACAACAATGCTACGCATGCCGCTACTGGACAGACGCCGTTCTTCCTCTGCTACGGACGCCACCCACTCACACCACAGAAACCGACAACATCCGCTACGGTACAACCTGCACATGATTTCATCACAACCATGCATCAGCTTTGGGATCGGACCCATAAGCGCCTCCTCGACATTCAACAGCAATAAAAGCGCCAGGCCGATCGCCATCGCAACGACCACACCATCACGGTGGGAGACCAGGTGCTTCTTGACACCCGCAACCTGGACATCAGCCACTCCCATCTAAACTTGACCTCGCTTCTGCGGCCTTTTCTCGTTGAAGCACAGGTCACTCCTGTTACCTTCCGCTTACGCCTGCCAGCTACCTGGAAGATTCACAACGCCTTCCATGTCCAGCTTCTGAAGCCCTACCGGGATCCGAACACGATCTTCGTCGGACGCCAACCGCCGCCGCCGACGCCCGTCCTCGTCCACAATGAACCCGAGTACGAGGTCGAGTCCGTGCTAGCACACCGCCGACGTCGGAATGGCACCATGGAGCTTCTCATCCGTTGGAAGGGTTATGATCCTTCTGAGGACAGCTGGGTCCCTGAGTCCAACATGGGTAACGCCCGTCGCCTCTGCATGACTACCTTGTCAAGCAGGGTGTTACTTCTACCACCCAGCTTTGAGGGGGGAAGTGTGAGAGTACGACCCCGTTACACCACTTGTCCCTTTTCTTATTTCCTTCCTCGTTCATTTCTCTTTATCTCATCTCATTTGGTTTCCTATTTTCCATTAACCTTTGGTTTATCCTGCTATTATAATTATATCACCGACCAGGCTTGGGATGTACTGGTGCGCATATCTGGCGTAATCCTGGCGTAATCCCTTAAAGCCAATAGCCTCGCGTGGCTATACGCAGGGTGATTCTATCTTCTAGAAGGGTCTATTCCCTTAGGATAAGATAAACCTGGTTACCTGATGTACTTTGGAAGTATAAAAGTACCTTGTACTGATCGATAGTGCAACCTTTCCTCGACACATTCGATCCTGTGACACATATACTGCATCGCCTTTTCCCCGGTCTTCATCTGTATTGTTGTCAGCTGTTGCATGTGTCTGCTTTGTGTCACGCTGTCGTTTGCTTAATAGAGACACTAGAGGTGATGTCATGCGAGTTCCGCGGAGTTTCCATAGCTCCGATACGTTCTGATGCTCTGTTGTTCTTGTGGTGATAGGTTCCGCAGGAGAACTGTATACGCTAGCAGCGAGTGATACGTGAAAATTTCTTGCTCCTTTCCAGTGCCGTTGCTTGGGAATGGCAGGGACCGTTGAAGTATCCCAAGAGATGCGCAGCCTCCATCAGCAACTCGAACTCAAAGCTCCAGGTAAAAGAAGTCGTGTCCGTTGAATGGTGAGGATGTCTGTAACTTGATTACGTGTGAAAACTGCGCCTGGAGACTCAAAATCTCGTTTGGTGTCTGTTGTGATGCAGCTGCTGTTGGTTGGGCACGGGGCGGCATGAACTCGAATGTCCCCGGTGAAGAGTGATAAGGCGCAAAGGTAGGCGCTTGATTGTGTCGCCCGAACGATGAATTGTCGAGGCTCATCGGCGCTAATCCCATGTTTCCTCCGTTGCTCTGTGTTGAATGCGCAGGTGTCCTTGTTTGCTGCTGCTGGTCGAAGTGCGACATGAAGCTAAAGAACCTTTCCATAAGGTTCGGATCCACGCTTGAAGAGGGTGATGGAGTCACCATTTCCGGTGCTCTTCCTGTTGTTTCTTGAGCAGCGCCGGTCTCGGTTTGCAGTCCTGAAGTGTGCAATCCAGAGTTGCCGGGTTGAGTGTCTTGGGCGCTGGGTGAGCCCGTAGAGATTTTCTTGCCCTTGCTGTCCATGACTTGTAATCAATGAAGTCGTTTGAATTGCAGATTGTAGATAGAGCGTAGTTGCTGGGAGTTTGGTCTCTGACCAGCTCTCATACCATGTTGGGCTGAGAAAAGCCCTTAGGATCTTTCCAGAGACTAAGTCCCAGTTGAAGAATGAGACTTGAGTAGTGCAGCGGAAGTTGAGTTGTTGAATCCTTGTACTAGTATATGAGAACAAGTGATTGATTAAAGAAACAAGCATACAGCAATATATAGGAAAATAGGAAAGTAAAGCAGTTGTAGAATACGGTTGCAGGAGCGGTTATCGAGTCGCACTGCGACTCGATTGTCGCTTCGGTTACCATTCGTGCAGTTGTAACGGTCAGTCGCAACCTCCAGTTGCGACCCTTCGAGTCCCTTTGCGTTCTTTGTCCATCCCCTCGTGTAACCTCCGTTGACTCGCGTACCCGTTGCGATCTTCCTCGAGTGTAGTGTTACTCTTCAGAAACGCTTAAGTCCTTTGAGGTATTTCCAACAAACGGCTCAAAGTTCATACGCAGTGCGTGAACAATTTGGGATCCGGGTGTTACTATATGCCATTAAATAGTTGAATATGCACCATACAAGGGGTAGGTACATGCATGCCTTACATCTAGAGATTTCATGCATTCAGCATAAGGTTTTAGGCATGCCAAATTGAGAAAGCTTGCTTTCTTGTCTTTTGCAATGTGCATCGTCTCATTTGAAGTGGCTAGGTACAACTAATGCTAATAGCCTTCATAAACCTGACAGACGTTATAGCCTAGAGTGGAAGACTCCATTCAAGTGACTGACTGGCAAATAACGCAACTCCAGGTGTTGGGGAGGGGGGGTGGGAAAGTTGATTGCGTTGTTTGAAAATGAGAGACGTGGGTGGAGGGAAATGAGCTCGAACCCACATATTTTTATTTGGAGAAGAGAGCGAATATCGTGCTTCGACGGTGCCAAAATCTGCAGTAAAAGCTGCTTCACTTTCACAATACACAAATTGAAAAACACTATGTATGTTTAATAAAAATATAATAATGTGAAAAATGTTTTTGCTCAAACCTAACACAAATGGCTACAGTTACACCACTAACAGACACGGTGCCAGGCTGTCGCGTCACCAAATTGGACGGTTTCATGGAGTTTGTTCCAGTTCATAAACGGTGATGTCAGCTGCACACGTAGGTTTTGTTTGTTTGTGCCGTGTGCAGTGCTCGATGGGAAACACCAAAAGACATCAACATTCCTCCCGATATACAGTACCTGATTTACCCACTCTGAATCTCCGTTTTACCATACCAGAGACGAGGGCTTCGGGCAATCCCTACGTAGTTGTTCGAATAGGGGGACTACCGTCAGGGCGTGAAGCTTTCGTTTCGGCCAATACCCATCCAACCCATTTACGGAGCTATTTGATCTTTCCGAAATGCAATCCACCTGACTCAAACGCATTCGGACGCAGGCTAACCTGCCGTCAGGGTATTTCAGGGCTCGTGTCATCCCAACTTCCGGTCATGATTTTGCCCCTTCTGGAAGACCCGAAGTTCCGAAATAAGGGCAGGGGAGACTTGGAGAAATCACCCTGTTTATTCAAAGAGAATTTACACTGATTGTTTATTAGTAGTGCACAAAGTTTATAAACCGTGTAAGCGTAATGCGCGCACGTGTTTCGCGAGCCTCCGCCACGGGAGAATGGGGCATTAAGTGGACACAGAGGTTTCGCGAAAACGGAAACCTTGTGTCAGATTTTGTGACAGGCAAAAGAGGACCTCAAAAGTACGCCCTACAAATAATATAGGATTTACAATGCGTTGCACCACGATTATGCGCGGTTACTTTCTAATGCCAAATGGGGCGTATTGTTTGAGTTCATTATCTTGGACACGCTCACCGAATCCGAGTCGCAGCTGCCACAGAAGACGCGCCGCTGGGCCATCAAGTGAAACGTAAGTTGCCCGTTGTTGGATGTAATTGGGCGCAGGTTGAGGGGTGGGCTAGGTGAATATTCTAGGACTTGATGGACACGTGGTGTACATCGCTCTTTCAGTGCTGTCTGGTCAACGATGCAGTTCCGATCATCATCAACCAGCTGCCCGTGCTTCAGGACGATACTGTACCATAATCTTATCTAGTGGTATACCCTTCAGTAGCCAGTCTTAATTCCCTTCGTAACATTGCCAAGGATGTTCGCTGCGAGGTTGCTTCTGAAGATTCCATACAGAAGTCGGGTGTAAGAGCGGTTGGAGTGTCCCACTAAAACATCCTGAGGTGGTTGCTCAATTCTGGCTTGCAAACATTCGGATAATTTATGACAAGCTGAACCTCTTGGATTCAGCAAGGCGACCCCTAGGGACATCCAACATGTCTTGCCCCTTCTCTTCCCCTCTCGTTGCTATCCCACGCAAACCACCTGATCACGTGAGGGCGTGCAAAAGTTTTCACTTTGTTGCGGTTGTATCAGGTGCTTTGCGTTCTAAAGGGTTTTTCTAAACATCCCAAGTGGTTGGGTAGGATCCTTGATGGAATACGAAATCTTGTGACACACCCTGACCACCACCTGACCCATCCAACCAAGTTTCTGGTTTGGTTCGGTCACCGAAGCACTCACCGTACCTACCCAGCTGGTTTCCTGGGTTTGTTGACGGTTGAAATGCTCCACCCCAACCAGATTCATTCATTTTTTCTCGACTGCTGTTTCCTCATTGAATTAGAAATGTAGGTGGTTCGTAACTAACTACCCTGCCGCCTAAGTCTCTCCTACGTGTCGCGATTATTAGCAGCGACGGTTGGATTCCACACATTTCCACCTTTTCGTCCTTCCTTTTCTCACTCTGCTCCTCTCGAATCGACATTCCCGTACCTGCGTTGTATTCCATACTACATCACCACAACTTCCCGCTAGACTCTTACATTCATTCGTAAAAGAACATTACAGATTATCACTCGTAATCCACTCTCATTGCTCCGTTTCAACGACTATCTGCTCCACCATTTCTGCATTGCGCCAGCACAAGTCAGCAGCAGCAGCAGCAGCCATGGCGCCTCCACCGAACCCGCATCACCAGCCTCATCCTCCCACTCTTCCCACGGTCGCTGAGTCCCGGTGGGAGGACGAGCTCTCTCCAACCACCACATCTACCAACGGCGCGCCGATCTCTCCTCTTCTACAACGCGACCCGCACTATTCCCTGCAGGATAAGGCGCGAGCAGCGGCTGCAGCGTCCAAGGCAGCTGCCGTAACCCCCGCCGCAGCCGGCGCCGCCGAAGTGCAGCCCAATGCCGCATCGTATTCGAGCTCCAACGCCGAAGGGGATTTCTCGTTTTCCGTCCCTTCCGCAGACCCCCACGATGCAACATCTCCTTCCGCTTCCGCTTCCGCTGCCGATACTCGCGCAACCTCCGCAGGCGCCAGCGACGACTCCAGCGCCGCCGGTCGCGCAGCCGCTTCCGCCAGCAGTAATGGGGAGCAACGCGCCCCCTCGCGGCCGCTGCGGCCGTTAAGCATCGAATACCCGTCGGGTACGGCGCCTGGAGCGCAGAAATCGCCGTCAAATGTGGAGTACACAAGCAGCAGCAGCAGCAGCAGCGCGGCCATGCCCGCGCGATGCCACGTGGCCGACGCGGCAGCACGAGCCCGCACGGTTCGGGTGGTAAGATCGGAGTAGCGGGGCTCGCGGGGATCGCGGGGACCGCTCGCGCGGCGGATGGCGGAGATGACGTGGAGTCGTTGCTTTCCCCCGGTATGCTGCATTCTAACCACCCTAATCTGTACCTCCCTAATCCGAGGCCGTCTCCGAGACTTACGGCTCATCCGCGGCTGTTCCCGCGGGGTTTGTCGTCGCACCCGTCGTCGTCCAACCTCTCGGCGTTGGATTCAGTTCGTAACTGGTTTTCGTCATTCTTCGCACGGTCGGCTGGCGGAACTCCGTTGAATTCGCCAACCACGGCCGGAGCGGAGGACAGGGGAGGGGGAGGGTTTGGCGGAAAGATTTCGGCGCACTTTTGGTTACTGGTCCTGCTGCTTTCCGCGGTAGGGTTGGTGGTTGCTGTGATGGTGTGCGTGTGGCTGGTGGTGATAGCGAAAGGCGGCGATAGTGGTAACCCGGAGGACTATTACCTCGGGCCGCACACTTTGCGAATCAACGAAGTGCAGGTCGTGGGGAGTCGTAACAGTTACCACGTGGCACCGGAACCGGAGGTGATGAAGTGGCTGTGGGAGAGCGGAATGATGTCGTTCGCTCGGACTGCGAATTTCACACACAAGCCGTTACAGGAGCAGCTCTCCGCGGGTTACCGTTTTCTACACTTCGATGTACGTCTGGCTGGCTCTTGAAATCTGTTAAGAGTTTAAAGGTGTAACGCAGATTTAAAGTTCCAGTATCTTGTAGAAATTGGCGGGTGAACACAGGCGGGAAGGGTGAACATTGTTCAGCGCAAACTCTAAAACCCAGACCTCCCTCCCCATCAACCCTTCTCCCCAGTACTCTCACTCACCCACAATATTATTCCCTCCTGTTCCACTGTTCCAGGCTCTTTAACTAACCTCCTCGTCCTCACTCCTTCCTCTCCCTCTTCCCTCACTCCTCCCACTCTCTCTCTCCTCCCTCTCTCCTTCCTCCCACCCCCCACCGTTCTCTAGGTGCTGTATGATCCCAGGGCGGCCGCTACGCCTCCCAAACGTGTACCAGCGCATAGACCGAGCGCCCAACACTCAGCTCAACCTCAATGAGCCGGGCTACAAGGTAACTAACTATACCTGGTCGTATGCCGACTAGTCCTAGGCTTTGTCCAGCATGGTACACAGGCACAGAAGGAAAGGGACAACATAGCAGGGTAACGTTAGGTACACCGGCCCGTAAGTGAAATTCATTGCCAAGCTAGCAGAGGAACCATGCAGAAAGGGAAGGGAGACAGGTAGCAAAGGTGCACGAGATAGATTCCAGAAACACAAGATGGTACCAGCCAGCAATGCACGTCTGTTAATTGATACCATTAAAGCAACTCCCTCCCACACTGCCACTTGTCTCCTTCCTTCCATCGCTTCCCTTCCTGCACTTGGCTCACTCTCTCTCTCTCTCCTCTCGCCCCACCTCATCTGTCTACCTCCCTCGGGGGACCCATGGTCTTGCAGGGTGTTTTTGAGAATTCTAAAAAACATCCTGGCTACTCCCACACATTTCACCCTGCTTTCCCTCCCACCCCACACGCCGTCTACTCCCACACTTCACCCTGCCCTCCCTCCCACCCCACCCCACGTGGTCACCAAGTCTCTTGAAATCATCCCATCCCTATCTTCTCTTACCGCCCACCTTCATCCCCCCACCCTCCCTCCCCCCCCCCTGGTGCATGCGCATGCAGGACGTGGACTTCCTCTCCACATGTGCCGCTCCCATCATCCTCTCCTCCTCCCCCCTTTCCCCCCTTTTCCCCCTTCCTTCCCCCCTTCCCCCCTTCCTTCCGCCCCTTCCCCCCCTTCCTCCCCTTCCTCCCCTTCCTCCCCTTCCTCCCCTTCCTCCCCTTTCTCCCCTTTCTCCCCTTCCTCCCCTTCCTCCCCTTCCTCCCCTTCCTCCCTTCCTCCCCTTCCCCCTTTCCCCTCCTTTTCCTTCCCCCTACCCCAGGTGATGCGCATGCAGGACGTGGACTTCCTCTCCACGTGCGGCACGCTGCGCGACTGCCTGGCGGCAGTGAAGGCCTTCTCCGACGACCACCCGCGCCACCTGCCCATCACCATCAGCATCGACTTCGGGGAGGGCTCGCCCATCATGCGCCGCCTGGCGCAAGTGCTCACTCGGCCGCTGCCCATCACAGAGCAGGTGAGGAGACGCGAGAGTGGGGGAATGGCTACAAACGAGTCCACCACCCGCGCCACCCGCCCATCACAGAAAGCATCGACTTCGGGGAGGGATCGCCCATCATGCGTTGAGCTTGCTGGCACAAGTACTCACTCGGCCGCTGCCCATCTCAGAACAGGTGAAGGGAAGAGACCCACTTTGATTCTATCAGCGTGGTAGTTGGGAAATTCACCTTAATCAGAAAGAAACATATCGCTTCTAAGAAGCTCCTTAACTACTCAAACAGGGATGCGGGTTACAGAGCTGGTATCCATTCTAACAGACAGCCAGGAACTGCTGTGGAGTTCGGGTTTCTTTCAAGTCTCCCCGCCTTTCCCTCCCCCCTCAAACCCCCCCCCCCCCTCCCCCCCCCTTCCCCCTCCCCCCACCCCCTTCCCCCACAGAGCCTGCTGGACCTCGAGTACGAGATCCTCTCCATCATCCCGCGTTCCCAAATCATCACCCCCGACGACGTGCGCGGCTCACACTCCTCTCTCGCTGCTGCAATTGCCACCCGCTCCGCCTGGCCCGCGCTCTCCACCTCCTCGGGCCGCTTCCTCTTCCTCCTCTCCCACGCCAAGGCCCTCCCCTTATACCGCCAAATGTCACCAACCCTCGAGGGGAGGCTGCTCTTCACTGCGCCGACGGCATCTGGGGAAGGCGACATCCACAACTCTCCTGACCAGGCGGTGCTGATAGTAGAATCCCTGGACTCCCTCGCAGCGGATATGGTGACCAAGGGGCACCTGGTTGTGTGCCCCGTTGCGCCGATGCGATCAGAACTGGCGGTTTTCATGTGGGACCAGGCGGTGAGGGCAGGGTGCCAGATTATCACTGTGGCTGATCTGTGGAACGAGCAGACGGAGAAGCCGGTTGGGACGGGGAGCGACGGCACGGAGACGGGTTTGCATAGGGGCCGGCAAGGACAGGAATCACCGCCATCGTCGTCATCAGATGCGACAAATCAAGGGTCAGAATACACTGGATCTCCTTCTGAATCATCCTCATCATCTCCATCATTATCATCTGATTTGTCGTCTGATGCGGCAGCGGCGATACCAGGCGCAGGAGGGGATGGACTGGGAGGCGTGGATAAGAACTGGGAGGTGCAGGGGCTGCACGGGGGCCCTCTGCTGAAGCTGCCTCTGCTGGTGGAGGGCGGGGCGGGCGTGCAGGCCAAGTGCCTGAAGCAGCTCAACAAGGAGGAGTGCGAGAAGGCGCAATGGGCGAAGCTGACTGAGCCTGTTCCGGAACAGAGGTAGTAACAGGCAGGCCTGGAATCTAGTTTTTAGGCGCCTCAAAACTGATGAAGCTGCCTCTGCTGGTGGAGGGCGGGGCAGGTGTGCATGCCAAATGCCTGATGCAGCTCAACAAGGAAGAATTTGAGAAGGCGCAGTGGGCGATGCTGACTGAACCTGCTCCGGAAGGTAGAGAGACAGAGGGACGGGCGGGCTTGGAGTCTGGAATGTGGAGTGGGTTGGGAAAGAGGTACGGGAGGTGAGCAGCTTGAAGGTAGAGCTTATGGGTGTGAATCCAAGGTGGGTGACAGAGATGTTCAAACTTGATTAGGAGGGCTTCTTGTGAGTGCAGGCAGTGGGTCTGCTACCTGTGGAGGTCAGGCATGGCATAGACTTCATGTGGTGTAGGTTGTACCTTTCTAGTCTGGTTTGTAAGAGGATACAGGATTTAGTGGATCACATTTGCATCTTAATAGACGTGGCAGTGCCTGTACACATGTTCCAGTGTGGTACTTAGGTGTCAAAAAATTCACTAAAAGCACTAGGGAATCATCACGTAGCATCTAATAGTGCCAGTGGTCTAGTGGTAGAATAGCACCCTGCCATGTGCCCGGTGCAGACCCGGGTTCGATTCCCGGCTGGCACAGCGCGTTTTCCGTTGCTGTCGTGAGCTTTTGCTCTCGACACACCTTTCTTGTCTGGTTAGCCGAGTTACTTCCTCTTCAGCCACCCTCCTAATCCTCGGTTATGTGTTCCTCGGTAGTCAGGACGCATGTGCTGCTCCTCTGTCAAGACTCTCCTCTTGTTCACACGTTGAGCAAGTAACACAGCGCGTGAGTAGAAAAAAGAGAAACAGGAAAAAGCTGGGGAAAGCTGAAGGAGGAGCCAGGAGCGATGGACCTCTAGTAGCTTCCACTGCCACCAACAGCTCCACCACTGGCGGCAACGTCAAGCTCGACACAATCCAGAATTGCACTCAAGTTCTAGCAAGGGAAACAACACATCAAGCTTTTGTTGGGTATCATATCACCGGTCAGTCGCCTCACTGCAGACGTCCTTGAACGTCGCTTCCGAAGCGAGTCGGCAAGGGGTCGGATCTCCGATTTCCTCAACATCACGATCACCTTGTACCTACCTACCTGATCTTCAAAGGATGCATGAGCGGTAACGCGAGGCCCCCCGCTCGCTGATCCCGTCATGGCGCATAGTACAACTAACTACTACCTAGATCAGTTACTTCATAGCCGCAAAAAGCAGCAGCCGGAGGAAGGGGTGAAAGGGGTGGAAGGGGTGGAAGGGGTGTTGGCTGCTTACCAAGGAGCAGACTGAAGACGCTGAAGTAGGGAGGGTGACTGGGGGAGGAGGGAGTGACAGCGTATAGGGACAAATTAGGGAGCGACAACCTCAGCACCGATAGACGGTTGAACAAACACGAGTCCACACCACAGCCACAAAGCAACAGTTCCTTGAGCTGGAAGGGAAGCCCTCTCGTGTTGCAACACATCGCCAACGAGAAAAAGAAACATGCATCGTACTGTATCCCCCTTTCACGACACGCGGGCAGGCAGGCGGGCATGCATCATGCACGGCATTGCCGCCCATTGTCGCGGAACTCCGGGTCGCCATTGACGTAGCGGTCGTCACCAGACATTGAAGAACGCCGAGCCCAATCTCGTCCCAAACAACCGCGAAGTCTCAGCATGCGGTTTGGAGATGTTTATATAATGGTACACTGAAGATTTTGAGTCTAGTAATTGGATAGGTAAAAATGACTTTCTACACAATTGACACCCACTCACACCATGAGCAACTATGAGGTATTTCGTTGCCCAAACCAGCTTCTCATTGTTCAGCATAATCTCGGCAATAACTGCAATATGTTTCAATGGGCGCCAGCACTTTCCAAAAATGGTTCAGCATAATGGTTGGGTTGCAATGGGAATGTCGACCTTCACCCCTGGTCAGGAGCTAGCACCCACACCACACATCTTGAGCATTACCGAGTCAGCCCAAGTCAACCAATTGTGCCAAGTGAATCTGCCATAGAACCACACCCTCCCTGCCCTCTAGTATGTATCCATATGCCCATGTATCCATGCATCCATGTGCCCCTAGAAGGCACATGCCTCAAATGCCCCACTCACGTTCATCCGAACCGAACACACTCTTCCACCCCCACACTCTGCATCCACAGCACACACCATCCCAACGCAACCCGTCTTCCCCCACACCACAAGCCGCAGTACATGTGCCTCAAGCACACACTTGCCGCCTTCAGACAAATCAGCATTCCCTGCTCTCAGCACATTTGAACCGCACGGAAGTGCCCCAACAAGGCACAATCAGCAAGCCGCACCAGGCCTGCCCCTCCCACTCTTCCACAGGGCACCCTACCCTGCCCTTCCACCATCCATCACGCACGGCTAGCTTTCAGGCGCGCATCAAAACTCACAGCGCCCACCAAGCCAACCCCTCCCACTCTTCCACGAGGCAGCCATCCCCTCAACCACCAACTCGTGCTTCACCCTCTTCTCCCGCCTCTCTCCCCCCTTTCTTTCCCTTCTCCTTCCAGTTCGTCCCCCTTTTCCTGCTTCCCCATACCCTCCCCCTTCTCCTTCCCCTTCTCCTTATCAGCAGGAATCACCCCGTATGACTGCAGCCACGACACTAACAGCAATTTATAACCTACCTCCCCCCTCAAACCTTCTTCCCCGTCCCCTCCCCCTTCCCCTCCCCCAATCCCGTCCCCCTTTCCGTCCCCCTTCCCCTTCCCCTTCCCGTCCCCCTTCCCGTCCCCCTTCCCGTCCCCCTTCCCGTCCCCCTTCCCGTCCCCCAATCCCGTCTCCTTCTTCTCCTTCTCAGCCGGAATCACCCCGTACGACTGCAGCCGCGACACCGCCAGCGAGTCATCTCAAACCTTCTTCCCCTTCTCCCCCTTACCCTTGTCCGCCTTCCCCTTCCCCCTACTCTTCTCTTTCCCCTTCGTCTCCTTCTCAACGGGGATAACCCCGTACAACTGCAGCCGCGACACCGCCAGCACCGCACCGCATCAGCCACATCAGTGCTTCTTTCCCTTCCCCGTCTTCTCCCCCTTTCCCTTGTCCTTCTTCCCCTTCCCCTCGCCCTTCTCCTTCTCAACGGGAATCACCCCGTATGACTGCAGCCGCGACACCGACAGCGCCTGCTTCCCATCCTTGCCTTCTAGAAGCATCTTCTCGTGCCTCTTCTGCTTCCGCAAGAGGTTCTTCTTCACCGCCTTACTCAGCTTTGGACCAGCGGCCGCATCACCATCCGCATCCCCCTTCCCCCCCTCACCTTCACCTTCACCGTTCGCCCCTGCCCCTTGGTCGCTCTTCCCCTTCTTATACTTCTTCTGCTGCTTCTGCTTCTCGCGGCGCCCGCCCTCCCCCTTCCCAACCTTGCCCTCGCCGCCTGTCTCCTTGTTCCTCCACCTCCACTTACCCGACTCATCCCTCTCCTCCTTCTCCCCCCCCTTCTCCTTGCCTGTCTCTTTCCCTTCGCCCTTATCCTGCTGACCCTCCTGCTGCTGCTCCTGCTGCTGCTCCTGCTGCTGCTCCTGCTGCTGCTCCTGCTGCTGCTCCTGCTGCTGCTTCTTCCTTCTGTTCCGCTTCTTAGCCTTCGTCCCCTCCTCTGTCTCCTCCTCCTCTTCCCCTTCCTCCTTCAGTCCTCCAACCACTGCCTCCGCCTGCTTCCCCTTCTTCCTCTCGCCCCGTGCTTGCTTCGCCTCATCCGCCTGATCCTCTTCTTCCTTTCCCCTCCCCTCTTTCCCTCTCTTCCTCTTTCTGTTTCCGTCCCCATCCGCCGTTGCCCCCTCCTGCCCCCTCCGCTCCTCCATCTCATCATCCTCCCCCCCTTCATGGAAATCTTCCCCACCCCTCTCTTCCCCTTCCTCCCCCTCTCCCTCTCCCTCTTCCAGCCTCACAAACGGCTCCCTCTTCCTACCCTTCCCATCCCTCCCCTTCCCCTTCTTCCTGCCCTTGGCCTCCCTCCTCTTCCGCCCTTCCTCATCCTGCTGCGCCCTAAGTGCCGCGCTTAGCACCTGCCGCCGCCGCCACTTAGGCACGTGCCACTCCTCTGGCTGGTACGGAGCGAGCTTCTTAAGCGACACGATCTGGTTCAGGTCCGTGTCTCTTAGCTGCAGGATTTGCTCGGGTTTTAGGCCGTAATTGTTGGGCTTAACCTGTTGATACCTGAAGCGGGTTGGGAGATCGCCTGAGGGTAACAGGGAGCACGAGAGGGGGAAACAGGAGAGACAGGAGGGACAGGAGGGACAGGAGGCATAGAAGGTCGAAACAGGGGTGGAGAGGACGATCAGAGAGGCTCGGAATGGGACTCACATTGAGTCCCTAAACTCCTCAGATCTCCTTGAGGCGGACTCGGAATGGACTCACATGGACTCACATGGACTCTTGACTCACGGATCAAGAGAAGAATGCGGCTACTCAACATCCCCTAGTGAGACTCTTCCAGCCCATAGCGGCCTAGCCTCAATCAGGATACTCTAGACCGTGTCCTCTAAATACTCCAGGGCCAACCGGCTTGGTTGCCCCTACCCAACCCAGCGATCATGTCCACATGGTGCAGCCAGCTGCTACTACTCCTTTAATCTCTGGATTGGTCAAACAGCTTCAAAGGAATCAATCCTGAAGGTCTGATGTCCCATCGGGAGACTTTTGAGATCAGAGGACAAAAATCGTGAGAACATCTCATTTAGCTGCCACGCTCACTGATCATGTCCTCATATTCCAGCTTGACTTTTGAGTCGACTCAAAAGTCATCTCGTAGTCCAGCTTGAGGCGCCTCAAAAATAGACATCTCATGCGTGAGGAGTCTATTTTTGAGGCGCCTCAAAAATAGACATCTCATTTAGCTGCCACGCTCACCGATCATGTCCTCGTAGTCCAGCTTGTAGTACTCCTCCAGGCGCTTGTCAAACGCCATCTTCTCCCGCAGCGACATCTGCTGCCGCTTCCTCCTCGCCCTCGCACTCCCTCCCCCTTCCCCCTCCTCTTCATCCACATCCATTGCCGTATCTCCTTCCTCCTCCTCCTCCTCCTCCTCGTCCTCCCCGTCCTCCTCGTCCTCATCTTCTTCCTCTTTCTCTTGCAAGGTAGCAGCAGCGCTGGGGATGAGCCCTTGTTTCATGAGCTTCTGGCGCACCGCACCGAACCCTTTGGAACCCACCTCCATCCATCCCTTGGGCAGACCCAACAGCTCGTCCTCCTTCTCAAAGTCCGGTTTCTCTGATTCCTCCTCTTCCTCCTCCTCCTCTTCCTCCTCCTCCTCTTCCTCCTCCTCCTCCCCCTCCTCATCTTCCTCATCTTCCTCCTCTTCCTCCTCACTCTCATTTTGAGCAGCAACTGCCTTCTTCCCTTTCTTTACCTTGTTCTCCTCCTCTTCTTCTTCCTCCTCCTCTTCTTCCTCTTCTTCCTCCTCCTCCTCCTCCTCCTCTTCTTCCTCTTCTTCCTCTTCTTCCTCTTCTTCTTCTTCTTCTTCTTCCTCTTCCTCCTCCTCACTATCATCTTTAGCAACAACTGTCTTCTTCCGTTTCTTCACTGTGTCCTCCTCCTCATCCTCCTCTTCCTCTTCCTCCTCTTCTTCTTCCTCCGCTTCTTCCTCCTCATCCTCCTCCTCTTCCTCCTCCTCACTACCATCTTCAGCAGCAGCAGCCTTCTTTCCCTTCTTACCCTTCTTCACCTCTTCCTCCTCCTCCACCTCCTCATCCTCCCCCTCCTCCTCCTTCTTTGCCTCCTCCAGCTCCTTATCCTCCTTTCCATAGTACTCCTCCCCAAACGCCGCCCTCATCTTAGCATCCCACAGCACCGGATCGAACTCCTCATCAAACTCAACAGACTCCAACAGCTCCACCATAGGCCCCCCCTCCTCCTCCTCCCCATACTCACCCTCTCCTCCCCACCCTCCCCCTCCCTTTCCACGAAGTCCCCCTCCTTTTCCTCCTCCCTTCCCTCCTCCTCCGCCACCTCCCCCCAGTCCAGCGACCAGTTTGATCTGCTGCAGCTTCTCCAGGATATCTCTCTTCTTGAGGTTTTTTAGTCGCCGCAGCTCCGCCTGCCTCTCCGCCTCCAGTGCTGCCCGCCGCTCCGCCCGCGCCTGCCGCGCCCGCTTCCTCACATCCATCTTGCGGCGCACCGACCCCTCGATCTCTCTGATACGGGCAGAACGGAAAGGAGAGGAGGGGGGGACTTTTGAGGCGCCTCAGAAGTCATCTTTTGGCGCACCGACCCCTCGATTTCTCTGAGACGAGGGGGGGCGGGGGGGGGAAGAGAGAGATGACATGGAGTGAGAACGAGAGAGAGTGAGGGAAGGAGGAAGGCTTGCTTCCTGGCGTCAATTTCCGCCGCACCGACCCCTAGATCTCCCTGAGAAATTCAGGGAGGAAGGGTGAAAGCGAGGGCGTATGAGACGAGACGGGATCCCCTCAAGAGTCAACCCAAAAGCGCCTGCCTCGCCTGCTTCGTAGCAACCATCTCGTGCCGCACCAAGCCCCTCAGCCCCTCAAAAGAAGGGGGAGGAGGAAGGGAAGGGGAGCGAGGGAGTAGGTAAACAACAGAGGGTGGAGGAGAGAGGAGCGGGGAGAGAGAGGAAGTTCCCCAGCCCGTCACTTTCCAGGTACCCCCACCAGCCTCTCCCTCCCCAAGGCGCCCCCCCACTCCTACTTTATAAGGCCCTTAGAACCAGACCACCACCATCGCATCCCTCCCATCCCATCCTTCCCAGCCGGCCACCTGGGGTAGGTGGCGACGAAGGCGCCCCCCCGGGCTCCTCGTAGCGGAAGTTGAACATCTCCTCGAACTCCTCCTGCTCCTTCACCGCTTCTAGATCCCTTGCTTACGAGGCGCCATTAAGCCGGGCCTTCACCTCCAAAGAACACTCCCAGCCCAATCCCTACCACCACCCTCCTGGGATACTTGTTTTGAGGCGCCTCAAAATCCGCGTGATAGGAGTCTAGTTTTGAGGCGCCTCAAAACTAAACTTCCCTCCCACCACCCTCCTGGGATACAACGCCACGAGCGCCCCCCTCCCTCTTCCCCCCTCCCTCTTTCCCCCTCCCTCTTCCCCCCTCTCTCCTACCCCTTCCCCCCATCTGGTATCTCAGGGAGAGTATCGATTCAGCTGAAACATACATACGCCCCAGTTTATACACACATCCCCATGATCGGAATACCTGGGGTAGGTGGCGACGAAGGCGCCCCCGGGCTCCTCGTAGCGGAAGTTGAACATCTCCTCAAACTCCTCCTGCTCCTTCACCTCCTCCTCGTCCTCCTCGTCCACCTCCGGCCCGCCCAGTAGCTCCTCGTACCCCGCGTCCTGCCATGCCATGCCATGCCATGCCATGGGGGGTGAGACAGGGAAGAAGGTTCTATCTAGGCGCTTTAGAGATATAGGCGCCCAGTAGGTCCTCGTAACCAGCGTCCTGCCATGCCTTAGGGGGTGACAGGAAGGGCCTTTTAGGCGCCTAAAAAAATAGGCGCCTACAGAACGCCCAGTAGGTCCTCGTGGCTGGCATGCTGGTATGCCATAGGGGTTGGCAGAGGGAAAGTTCGGGCTCGGAGGGGAAGGGGAGGGGGAAGGGGAAGGAGACGGGGGAGGGGGAGGGGGAGGGGAAGGGTGGGAGAAATGAGATTTCAAAGTGCCACCCTGAGTTGAGCCATAGTGGTGTGGTAGCAGACAATAGGAGGGGCCAAAAGAGCAATCCATGGCCACAGCAGACAAATGAATGGAGCAAGCTGAGACAAGGTGGGCGGGGGGTCGTGTGCAGTGCTAGGAGATGAGGAGCGGGGGAAGCGGGGGAAGCGGGGGAAGCGGGGGAAGCCGGGGAAGCCGGGGAAGCGGGGGAGAGGAGAGGACCAAGTTTGGCTTTCATATTTTGGACTGTATACATGGAAACAAAGACACACAGGCACCAGGCGCGGGGAGGAGGAGGGAGGGGGGAGGAGGAGGAGAAGTGGAAGGGAAGCGAGCAAAAGCGCGAAGGGAGGGTGAGGTGGGTGAGGTGAGGTAAGGGCTGGGAAGAAGCCTCTGGGCTGGGAAGAAGCCTCTGGGCTGGGAAGAAGCCTCTGGGCTGGGAAGAAGCCTCTGGGCTGGGAAGAAGCCTCTGGGCTGGGAAGAAGCCTCTGGGCTGGGAAGAAGCCTCTGGGCTGGGAAGAAGCCTCTGGGCTGGGAAGAAGCCTCTGGGCTGGGAAGAAGCCTCTGGGCTGGGAAGAAGCCTCTGGGCTGGGAAGAAGCCTCTGGGCTGGGAAGAAGCCTCTGGGCTGGGAAGAAGCCTCTGGGCTGGGAAGAAGCCTCTGGGCTGGGAAGAAGCCTCTGGGCTGGGAAGAAGCCTCTGGGCTGGGAAGAAGCCTCTGGGCTGGGAAGAAGCCTCTGGGCTGGGAAGAAGCCTCTGGGCTGGGAAGAAGCCTCTGGGCTGGGAAGAAGCCTCTGGGCTGGGAAGAAGCCTCTGGGCTGGGAAGAAGCCTCTGGGCTGGGAAGAAGCCTCTGGGCTGGGAAGAAGCCTCTGGGCTGGAAGAAGCCTCTGGGCTGGGAAGAAGCCTCTGGGCTGGGAAGAAGCCTCTGGGCTGGGAAGAAGCCTCTGGGCTGGGAAGAAGCCTCTGGGCTGGGAAGAAGCCTCTGGGCTGGGAAGAAGCCTCTGGGCTGGGAAGAAGCCTCTGGGCTGGGAAGAAGCCTCTGGGCTGGGAAGAAGCCTCTGGGCTGGGAAGAAGCCTCTGGGCTGGGAAGAAGCCTCTGGGCTGGGAGGCTGGGAAGAAGCCTCTGGGCTGGGAAGAAGCCTCTGGGCTGGGAAGAAGCCTCTGGGCTGGGAAGAAGCTCTGGGCTGGGAAGAAGCCTCTGGGCTGGGAAGAAGCCTCTGGGCTGGGAAGAAGCCTCTGGGCTGGGAAGAAGCCTCTGGGCTGGGAAGAAGCCTCTGGGCTGGGAAGAAGCCTCTGGGCTGGGAAGAAGCTCTGGGCTGGGAAGAAGCCTCTGGGCTGGGAAGAAGCCTCTGGGCTGGGAAGAAGCCTCTGGGCTGGGAAGAAGCCTCTGGGCTGGGAAGAAGCCTCTGGGCTGGGAAGAAGCCTCTGGGCTGGGAAGAAGCCTCTGGGCTGGGAAGAAGCCTCTGGGCTGGGAAGAAGCCTCTGGGCTGGGAAGAAGCCTCTGGGCTGGGAAGAAGCCTCTGGGCTGGGAAGAAGCCTCTGGGCTGGGAAGAAGCCTCTGGGCTGGGAAGAAGCCTCTGGGCTGGGAAGAAGCCTCTGGGCTGGGAAGAAGCCTCTGGGCTGGGAAGAAGCCTCTGGGCTGGGAAGAAGCCTCTGGGCTGGGAAGAAGCCTCTGGGCTGGGAAGAAGCCTCTGGGCTGGGAAGAAGCCTCTGGGCTGGGAAGAAGCCTCTGGGCTGGGAAGAAGCCTCTGGGCTGGGAAGAAGCTCTGGGCTGGGAAGAAGCCTCTGGGCTGGGAAGAAGCCTCTGGGCTGGGAAGAAGCCTCTGGGCTGGGAGAAGGGGGGGAAGAGCCTCTGGGCTGGGAAGAAGCCTCTGGGCTGGGAAGAAGCCTCTGGGCTGGGAAGAAGCCTCTGGGCTGGGAAGAAGCCTCTGGGCTGGGAAGAAGCCTCTGGGCTGGGAAGAAGCCTCTGGGCTGGGAAGAAGCCTCTGGGCTGGGAAGAAGCCTCTGGGCTGGGAAGAAGCCTCTGGGCTGGGAAGAAGCCTCTGGGCTGGGAAGAAGCCTCTGGGCTGGGAAGAAGCCTCTGGGCTGGGAAGAAGCCTCTGGGCTGGGAAGAAGCCTCTGGGCTGGGAAGAAGCCTCTGGGCTGGGAAGAAGCCTCTGGGCTGGGAAGAAGCCTCTGGGCTGGGAAGAAGCCTCTGATATCAAACCCACCCCCCTTACCTCGTCGTCGTCGTCCGCCCACTTCCTCTCCAGCAGGTACGACTTGAGGTAGCGGTCCACCTCTCATTATTCCGCACCCCCCCACCCTTCCCCTGCCCAGACCCTCCCCCCGGCCCTTCCCCCCCTCCCTTTCCCCCCCTCCCTTTTCCCCCCGCCCCTTCTCCCCCTCCCTTTCCCCCCCGCCCCTTCTCCCCCTCCCTTTCCCCCCCTCCCCCAAACCACCCATCACGGGAATCAGCATTTCCTTTCTCACCTCGTCGTCGTCCGCCCACTTCCTTTCGAGCAGGTACGACTTGAGGTAGCGGTCCACCTCGTTGAGCTGCTGCTCGTCGCGCCCGAAGTACTCCTCCAGCCGCTTCTGCACCGCACCCTTCACCGCCGGGTCGCCCCACCCCCCCGCCTCCTCCTCCTCCCCCTCATCCTCCTCCTCCTCCTCCTCTTCATCCTCCTCGTTCTCCGCGCGTTTTTTCCCCTTCTTGCGGTCCTTTTTGCCGTTCTTGCGGGCCTTCTTGACTCGCAGAAGCTCGTCCTCGCCCTCCTCATCTGCTCCACGGCACAACGGAAAAGGGAGAAGCGAGCGTGTGGGGGGGGGGAGTGGGGGAGAGGGGGGGGAGGGGGGGGAGGGGAGTGGGGAACGAGATTTGAGGCTCGTCTGCGCCACGGCACAACGAAAAAGGGAGAAGCGAGCGGGGGTGGAGGGTGGGGGGATTGGGGGAAGGGGAGGGGGGGGGGAGGGGGGGGAAGGGGGGGATTTGGGGGAAGGCAGACGGGATTGCAGGGGCTCGAACTCACCAGCGCTCAATAAGCGGCACTTGAGTATGTCAACGTTCGAGAGGCAACTAGCCAGGCATCCAGCCAGCCAGCCAGCCAGCCAGCCAGCTCATTGGGACTGATTCCCTTCCAATGAAAGGATTTGAGCACAAGAACCACGCTGATAAACCTATTGGAATACTCCTCCCAGTATGGTTTAAACCCTGTCACTAAACCCCTGCCCCGCCCAGGGCCCTCGCACATACGCGCACACTGCACGGGCATGCGTACACGCGAGTCATTCTCGACAAAAATAAATCAAGAAATAAATAAACAGATACGGGCGCCAGATTCAGGAGGCAAGTAACCTCAATTCCGCGCACGCACGCACGCACGCACGCACGCACGCACGCACGCACCTGCGTCCGCGCCCTCGAGGAACGCCTTCTTCAGCTCCTCCTGCTCCGCGAAGTAGCTCTGCCGCGACGGCCGCTCCACGTCGCTGCCGCCGCCGCCATCGTCATCGCTGAGCCCCACGCCGTCGATCGCCTGCTGCGCCAACACGTCCTTCAGATACACCGCCTTCTTCTTCTTCTCCTTCTTCTCCTTCTTCCCCTTTCCTTCCTCTTCCTCCCTGTCCTTCTTTTTCTTCTTGTCCGCCTTGGCCGTTCCCTGCCCTTCCTCCTCGTCTGCTCTCTCTCCCTCTCCCTCTCCCTCATCCTCATCCCCTTCCTCGTCGTCTCCCTCCTCCGAAGACGACTCGTTGGGCGAATCGAAGAGGCTAACACCGGGTTTGAAGATCTCCGGATCCTTGTTCTTTATTCGCGAAAGAGCCTCCACGAATTTAACATCCTGGTCTACGCGTAGCAGATGCTCGTCCTGCTCGTCCTCCTCCTCCTCACTATCCTCCGGCTCTTCTTCCGCCCCCCCCTCCCCCTCCCCCTCCCCCTCCCCTCCCCACTGCGCGTCGTCATTCCGCCCGAACCGGCGGTCTTGCACCCAAGATCCGCCAAAACCCCGTCCCCTTCCGCCTCCCCTTCCGCCTTCGCCCCAACCCCTTCCGCCGAATCTCCCGCCAAACCTTCCGCCTCCTCCGCGACCCCCCCTTCCGCCGAACCCCGCGTTCCTTTCCGCGGGCAGGTAGCCCTGCTTGAACTTTTCCTCCAATCGGTGCATCTCTTCGCGTCGCTTATTGTGCTCGAGCCTCTTGGCGAACTCCTGGTTGATGCGAAGCTCGAACTTTTCGCCAACGTAACCCTTCGCGACGGCCACCTCATCTTCGTGATCGTCGTCGAGGAGTAACTTCTTCGCGGACCCCGAACCGGAACCGGAACCGCCAGCCATGGCGGTCCCTTTGCGCACGCCGGATTCCGCGTCAAGAGACAATCCCGAGACGAAACAAGCACGAGAAATCCGCCAGACCAGGAGGTGGCTCTGGGAATGGTTGAGTTGAGAATGGTTTTGCTGTCAAGGTTAGATCAGAAGGCTTAGGCAGGCAGGGCTCGCCTCGCCGCACGTTGTTGCAGCGACCAGGGTTTAGGGCGCAGCTCCAGTGGACGAAACCCTCCGCACAAGACCTCCAAGAACTCTCTAGAAGACAGCCAGCTAAAGAACTTCGCATCCAACATGATTCATATCATATGACGATTATTTACAAGGTGTTCTTTGCCCAACTTAAAAACAAATTATGTACATGAATGAATCTCAATGCACTGTAACACAAAAAACATAACGTTGCGCCACCGATGGATTAAGATCTGCCTCCACAGTTAAAAGAGCTGCAAAAGGAAGCAAAGTGAATGCAATCGGAAATGCGATGAGGACAAAGCATAGAGGATACCTGAAGTACTGATCTAGTGGGAGGGAGCGAGAGAAAAACGATGGGAAAGCCTTCAATATTCAGATTTAGATAGAGAGTAACAAAAAAACGGGAGGGAAACTTGGCCTAACAAAAAATCCCAGCGAAACTTGGGAGGGAAGGAGTACCTGCAGGCCACTGTTGGTGATGGCGAACGGGAAGGAGATTTGCGGCGCCATAGGTGCCTTAGCAATGTGCAAGACACGGTGGGAGCCTGCAAGCTCATACATAATGAGCAGCAGGGGCGACGACAGGAGACGAATAAAACGATGCCTTAAATGTATGTGTTCATACATACGGTATATGCCTAGCGTTCTTACTCCCCTTCCCCTCCCCTCCTTTTCAGCGTGCACCCATACACGCCTACCCCAGGCAGCCTCGCACCACCTGCACTAACTAAGCCCCACCACACCAACCACCAACCCTAGGCACTGGCACCAGGCTCAGCGCAGCATGACTGCCCATGCTGGGCTGGGGCGCCTCATTACGCATTGGTGCTCATGAGGCTGCAAAAGCCAATACTCTGTGGGTCCTCTGTGGGCACTTTGCAGTTACTTCGCGGGTCTATGGCTACAGCCTAGCCTACAGTGCTCGATGTGTGCCTCGAGTGCGTACCAGCAGCATGTGTGACAGTTGAGAGCAGTAGCCGCACGTTGACGCAGTGAGACCATTTGGCGCCCAGAGCCGCCCTTCTGCCGTCAGCCTCTGGGGGAGAGGAGAGGATGGGGAGGAGAGGGAGGAAGCGTGAGAACGATGGCGGCGTGAGGGCAGGTGGAGAGGATAGGAGGTGGATGGCGGCGTGAGGGCAGGTGTAGGAAGACTTTTGGGGCGCCTCAAAATTGGTGTAGGAAGAGCTGGAACCATGAGGGAAGGGGAAAGGAGGAGGGAAGGGAGGGGTAGGTAGGTAGGATCGCGAGGGGGAGCTGCACGAATGGTCAACACAGGACTCTAGACACAACAATGCAGGCCCAAGAAGGTACTGGTAAAAGGTTTTTAAAGCATGTGCTTTTGTACCGTCTTTTTTTTTTTTTTTTTTTTTTTTTTTCCTTCTCGTAGAACATTATTTTTTAGAATCAGGATGTCCAGAAATCCCTCACCGCTTGGTGCAGAAGGTCCAACAGAACGAGAGGACGAGGTGGAAGAGGAGGAGGATGCTGAAGCAACGTGGTTGGTGACGAGCACAGGCAGACAGAAGCTCTCTGCAAGGTACCTTGGGTTGGGGTTATGGGGAGGGGAGGGAGGCAAGAAAGACTTTTGAGTCGACTCAAAAGTCACCTCGTTGGTGACAAGCACAGGCGGACAGAAGCTCTCTTCCAGGTACCTTCCGGGCATTGGGGGGAAGGGAGAAGTTCTTAAATTGTGAATTCTAAGATACCAGCTATCTTTGGGGCATAGGGGAAGAGGAGCTGATATCTTATTTGAATTCTAAGAAACCAACTATGTTGGGGGCATGGGCAGAGCAGAAGAGGCGGGGAGCGAAAGAAAAGGGGAGGGATGAAGGATGAAGGGAAACAAGAGAAAACGCAGCAGCTTGCATGGGTCGAACGGCGGCAAGGGTTTGCTCCTGAGAAAGCAAAAAAACCAGCTCAGCCGGTTGAATGGGTTGGAAGGCGAGGGAGAGAGTGTAGGGCGGACGGAGGGTTGGAGGGTAGGAGGAGAGGAGGAGAGGAGATGGAGAAGCGCCGGAAGAACGGAAAGTGGGGAGGGTGGGGGATGGGGGAGAAATGAAGAGTGTCTCACTTGAGTTTCGATGCTTGATGGGAGAGGAGCTGCTGCCTCTGAACGAGATTGTCTGCGCCAAACTCACTGGTGGACGCAGAGATACACGCACATGCATCCCCCTCGCCCACACATGCACACACACACACACACACACACACACACACACACACACACACACACACACACACACACACACACACACACACACACACAGAGACACAAACACGCACACGCACACATACACGCATGCACGCACGCCCCCCCCTCCCCCCCCCCCCCCCCACACACACGCACACGCACACGCACGTAAGCAGTGCTCTATTGCCTGCTCTCAAGTCCCCTGTCCCTATTCCCCCTCCTCCCCCCTCCTCCAGTCCCTTCCACCCCTAGCCTCCCCTCTCCTCCTACCTCCCCTCCAAACAGCACCCACTTGCGCACAAGAGCAGCAATGCCAGAAACTATAATCCCATCCCCCCCTCCGCTTCCCCCCATGTTCCCCCTTCCTCCCATTCCGCCCCCCCTCCCCCATTTCCTCCCCCCCCAGGAAGCTCACATGCGCACGAGGGCGGCAATGCTGTCGATGACTATGAGCCGCGTGCTGTATCTCCTCCCCCCCTTTCTCTCCCCCCTTAAACCCTTCCTCCCTCCCCATCCCCTCCCCCCTTCCGCCCATCCCCCCTCCCCCTCCCCCCCGAAGAAGCTCACATGCGCACGAGGGCAGCAATGCTGTCGATGACTATGAGCCGAGTGCTGTTGCCTGCCAGCGACGTGTGCAGATTGGCTATTCTGAGGAGAGGGGGGAGTGGGGGGGGGTGTAGTGTAGAGGTCAGGACTCAGGAGGAGCTTGAGGTAAATAGGGGAGAAATGGGGGGCTTTGTGCGTGTGTGTGTATGCGAGCGCGCGCGCGCGCGTGTGTGTGTGTGTGTGTGTGTGTGTGTGTGTGTCTGTGTGTGTGTGCGTGCATGTGTGTGTGAGAGAGAGTGAGGGGAGTGCGAGGAAGAGAGAGAGAGAGAGAGCGAGAGAGAGAGAGAGAGAGAGAGAGCGAGAGAGAGAGAGAGAGAGCATGAGTCCCTCTCCAGCTATATAAGCTCTCTCCCTCCCTCATTCTTCCTGTTTAGTTTCCAGTTCTTTCTTTTCTCCAACCCTTGGTGGCGGCTCGCGTCGGCGGCCTTCGGCCGCGCGTGAGGGGCGGCAAGGACACAAGGCTACAAAGTCAACTACGACAACATCAAATACACGCATCCGGGGTCTACAACCCTCCAACGCTACACTCGGCAAACAAGCATGGAGAGCCTCACAGAGCTTACCAGAGCGCTCACGCTAGAGCGCACTTCACCAACCAGAACCTACACACGACGGCAGCCCATCATACGGCTTCGTCCGCTCCAGCCTCCTCAAGCAGGGCCCTCACATAGTCCCCCAGGAGCATCAGCGCTGACACGGCACCGCCAACGATGTCTACAGCTGCAGCCGAGTCTACGCTCGCCGATACTGTCCGCATCACGGCGAGCAGGCGCGGGTCCAACACGGTTCCCGAGGCGGGCACAGGCTGCACTCGCGTGGACACGACAGCCAGATCAGCTGCAGCCATCGCGCAGCGCTGGAGCGGATCGTGAGGCATCTTGCACGGGCTCACTGATCTCCGTAGAACGGAGTGTGAGTCCGTCAGCATCTCCACAGCATACCCCATCGCCCTCTGCGCGTGCCAGAGCCGACGAAGCGTGGCGATTGGGATCGCAGTCTCCGCCAGCCGCTCCCTCCCCCGCAGGCGCTCCAGCTGCGCCCTCTGCGGCATCCGCAGCCCACCCGAGCGACGACGCCCCTGGTCCCCAGGAGGCGAGTCCTCGCCCGTGGACTCCGCTCCCCCCATCTCCGCTGCTTCTGCCCCCCCCTCAACTCCAGTCGGTGACGCCAGCGAACGGCGGGGGGGGACAAAGGGCGCTGTCGCCCGCTCGCCGAACGATGCCGGTGCCACCATCGGCGGTGGGCCACGGGACCATCCCGCCACCGACACATCCGGGGGCGTCGGCTGCCAGGGCGGCAGTATCTCCGCGGACCGCACGTCCATCCGACGCGGATCGAAGGGACCGGCCGAGGGGAGGACTGGCGGAGGGGGTGCGGAGGGAAGGGACGCCAAGAGGTGCTGGCTGTCAAGGAGCGGGAGAGATGTCACACTGCGGGGAGGGAATGGCGGCGTCGGTGCCTGAGGAAGGGGCAAACGCACGGGCGGCAAGTGCGCCTGCTGGTACTGCTGGGGCGCCAGAAGCTGCGGAGAATACGCCAGAGCCTGCTGGGGTTGGGCGACACTGCGGAACAAGCCCTCGAGAGTCGCCGCGGCCCGCCCTAGGCGCCTCTCCGCCGCGGACCCACGGTTACTCCCCCCGCCAGCCCTCCAGCCGACGCGCTGGCCCGAACGCCCGCGCGGCGCCTGCGGAGTCCGGCGCTGCTGCCCAGGCCCCGCCTGTGGGCGGCGCTGAGGCATTCCTCGGCGGGCGGGATGCTGCTGGCGTGGTGACCGCTGCACCTCGCCACGCGCCACTGGTTCACGTCCAATCTCCACGGCGCGCTCGGGGGATTTCTCCTCGTGTCTCGGGGGCGCGGCAGTCCTGCCCCGCGACTGCCCCCGCATCCGCTCGGGAGTCTGTCGGCGAGCCGTCGAGGGGCCGAGGAGCCCGCGCTCCCAATCCCGGCTCGACGGCGCTGGAGGACTCGCCCGACCTTGGGGCGACTTGCTGTCCCCAATACTCTCCAAATCGGCAGAACGCTCCCGCGCTGGTCGCTCCATCCCGAGGAGGCGCGCCGCACTCGGCACCCCCCACGACTCGGCACGAAAGCCGAACGATGACCAGGGCCGCCCCGAGAGGAAACCACGGAGGCGGTCGCGGAAGACTCAACGCACGGACGGCCGGAGGGCGCGGCCGCGGGGCGGCAAGGCGTGGCAATCTGTCCTCCGATGGAGGACCACTGAACGGATTCTAGCAGGCAGCGAATAGGGCTTTAAATGCCTCGGAACTGCAACGAACAACTGATGAGGAGGAACGGGCGGACGGAACTTATATACCAGGGGACCAGGGAGACCCCACGACTGCAACCTCCAGCGAGGAGGAAAACGTCGAAACAAACAGGCGCGCTGGAGGACGAGAGACTGACCCATCTCCCAGATCCAGGGGACGAGGGTCCAGCCGCTTGCACAATACTCGGGCACCGCTGGACACCCACCCCCAGGCAGCCCAGCAGTTGTCCCCGGAAGAACTGGCGAATGACCCCTCCAGATTCGCCGTCATCGCCACTTGGGACGTCGCAGTTCTCTGCGACAGTCGCCAACCCCCTCTCTCCCGCCGGTTACCCCCCCAAATCCGCCAACTTTTCGCGCTCGCCCTTCTGACACCTCTCCTTTTCCTCGCCAAACATCCAACCTCCATCGAGGGTTGGATCTTGTTCCTTTACCTCCCGCGCCTCACACTTCGCCTACCCTCGCCACGACGCCCTGACTGGCCCGCGACGGAACGACGACTTCGACAATTTCTCGCGGGCCAGTGGGACACACTGTATCAAGCAGCTGCCTCTGCTGTCACCCTGCCACCCCCTCCCCGCCACATACCTGACACTCTCGGGAAAATATCCCGCGCCGAGGGCTTGGTACGACGAGGCAGTTTGCGACGGGCACTGCTCGCGTTGACTTCGACCCCAGTCAGCAAGTCCACCCCCACGGTCCTGGACGTGCTGAAGTCAAAACACCCCCCTCCGCTTGTCGAAAACCTCACCTGGCCACGGCTCGACGAAAACTGCAGGCCACCGACAGTCGATTTCGCTACGTTCGCGAAGCTGCTCTCTCGCTCCGAAAATGGAGTTGGGGCAGGCCCCTCGGGGATGACTTTCGAGCACCTTCGCGATGCCTCGCTGTCCAACCCCACCGTCGCCACAAATCTTCACCAGCTCGTCCAACGGTTACTCGCGGGTAACCTGCCGCACGAGGTCAGCCAACTCGTTACCTCCTCACGCCTCCTGGCCCTTACCAAGCCCGATGGGGGTACCCGCCCCATCGCAATAGGAGAATGTCTCCACCGGCTAGCAGCAAAATCCGCGTTAATCTCCGCCACGCATTCCGCGCAAGACTACTTCCTACCACACCAATACGGGGTGGCCATCAGAAGCGGCGGAGAAGCCATCATCCATGCCACCAGGGGCTTTACCTCAGCGCGCCCGGGCTCACTCATCCTACAAGTCGACCTTTCAAACGCCTTCAATAGCGTTGACCGCGCGGCCATCATCCACGCAATCAACACCTCGCCCCTGCGCCCGCTCCTCCCTTCATACAATTCTCCTACGGAGCACCGTCCCTGCTCTACCTCGACGCTGAGTTCGACAGCCCACCCCTACTCAGCGCGCGGGGAGTTCGCCAAGGGGACCCCATGGGCCCCCTCCTCTTCGCAGCTGCCATCCACCCAGCGCTCCAGACAACCGCCGCGGCCCACCCCGAGGTCCTCTGCCTCGCGTACGCCGACGACATCACCTTCGTCGGCGATCCGGACGCCTGCACCTCGGCGTTCCTCAATTTCACAGCGGCCATGGACCGCATCGGTCTCTCCCACAACCCCGCGAAATGCGCGGCGTGGTCAGCCGAGCACCCTGCACCTGACCGCCTTCCCCCAGGCATACCTTTCAACACAGAAGGCGTCCGCGTGCTTGGCAGCTTTATAGGCACAGCCGAGGGCACAGCCGCATTCCTCCGCACCCAGCTAGCCCTGCTAGCCGAACCCCTCGCCACACTGGCCACCATGGACCCTCAGTCCTCATCCCTCCTCCTCACACGCTGCGTATCTCGGCGTGTCTCATACTTAATCCGCACCACCCCCCTTGACTTCCTGCCCCTGGACGTCTGGTCCGACTGGGGTCGGGAGCTCTTCTATACCCTCCTGCGTGCCTGCAACCTCCAACCACCTCGGGGCGAGGTGGAGCGAGCGCGCACTTGGGATCAAGCGTCCCTCCCTCCCTCTCTTGGCGGACTGGGTCTAACCGACCCCGCAATTGAGGGATACCCAGCCTACCTCACCAGCCTCTCCCAAGCCCAGGGCCTCTTGGCTGACCTCCCAGCAGCGTCAGGAGGGCCCCTGGCCGACGCTGTCCGGCACCTCACGCCACCTTTCACCAGCCCCACCCACTTGCATACCTGGCTGGCGAAGTGTGAAACGGCGATGCCCCCACGAGCCCGGGAGCTCCTGCACTCCGAGAGGACAGAACCCTCCGGCTCCCCACTCCAACACCGCTTATCCCTCGAAGTCCAGGCCGTGCGATACGCCGGCCAGGTGGCAGCCACGCGGACAATGGACCCAAACCCACTCTCTGGGCACACCCAACGCCTCTTTTCCCTGGCTGGATATGGAGCAGGGGACTGGCTTCATGCCATCCCCATCTTCCCATCCCTCCGCCTCGAAGCTCCACACTTCGCCATTGCCCTGGCCTTCCGCCTCGGCCTTCCATTCCCAGCCCCCCGCACTTGCAACTGCGCCGAGGAATTCGAAATCCTCGACACCAGGCTGCCCAACCACCTGCTTCGGTGTGGCACCGGGCACGGACGGACGGACACCCATAATGCTCTGCGGGACGAGAGCATACGGATGGCCCGAGATGCTGACTTTATAGTCACCAAGGAGACCACCATCTACAGCCCCGTGACGGCCACAAGGCCGACCTCGCCCTCCGAGACCGCAGTTCCGGAGCCGTCTGGATCTGTGACGTCACTGTCACAGATCCCATCAGCAGCCGGGACCCGGACGCTAGAAAAGGACGCGGATACATGGCCCGGGAGCAAGCCGACAAGAAAATCTCCCATTACCGAAATCGGGCTCCGTATGTCGGATTTTTCCCACTTGCAGTCGAGACATACGGCTGCCCCTGCGCCGAGGTCCCTACCTTCCTGAAGCTACTGGCTGACACAGGGGCCAGGAGACTTTTCAATGCGGACCCCAGCTCCTACCAGGCAGCGAAAATGCTCCACCAGTTTCGCCAACGCTGGTCAGTGACGCTGCAGCGGGCACAGGCCTGGCTTACCTGGGAAAGTTAATGAAGCCTCCCCTGCCCCCCACACCCCAGTGGGTACCCCTGACGCCGACATGGCACCCGGGGACTGCTTTGCCATAGCAGAGCCCCTAGGGGAGCTCGTGTAGTTTCGAGCCCCCAAACATGCACGTACCTTGCCCTGCTGCCCCTTGCCTGCCTTGCCTAGCCTGTACCCAGTTTTCCAAGCAATAAACGGACCGCTTGAGAGAGAGAGAGAGAGAGAGAGAGAGAGAGAGAGAGAGAGAGAGAGAGAGAGAGAGAGAGAGAGAGAGAGAGAGAGAGAGAGAAGAGAGAGAGAGAGAGAGAGAGAGAGAGAGAGAGAGAGAGAGAGAGACCTTCTGTTCTCTACGACGAGTCTCTCACCTTTGTCACCGTCCTCGGGGTGGCTACAGAGACTTACGGGTGCTGCTCGGCCGACACGCTAGAGTTTCTCTCCCTCCTCGCAGGCCTGGCGGCTACCCGCAACCACAACGCGGACAGAAAGTCCACGCTCGCCCAGAAAATGGCAGCCTCATTCCGCCAGCGGTGGGCGGTCACCCTCCAGAGGCAGCAGGCCATGACGCTGCACAGCAAGGTCAGCCTCTGCACAGAGAAAGCCTTTGCTGCTGGGGCCGACATGGAGACCCCTCTCACCTTTGGGGAGTTAGAAGCAGTGATTGAAACCTAGACGAGGTCTCCCGAGCAGCGGAAGGCTGCTGCTGGGGACCACATGTTGCCTGTCATCTCTGAATTGTACATGTACAACTTATAAGGCTAATACCTAAGGACCGCTTGAGAGAGAGGAGGAGTCAAGCTTGAGGTCCTGCGCGGCTGCGGCGTTGTTGTAGAGCACGGAGAAGCAGTGGTGCGAGAAGGCGTACACATAAGCCAGCGACTGCAGGATGCGGAGGCAGCGGTGCCTCGTGGCGCTGTCCCCAACCCCGAACTCCCAAACCAACCCCCCATTCCTCCTCAGAGCATCCCCACTCACCGCTCACGTCCTGTGAGGGAAGTGGTGCGTGTAAGCCAGCGACTGCAGGATGCTGCAACAGCGGTGCTGCAGAATGAGTGGTGCCCCCAACCCTCAACCCACCCCCCCATTCCTCCCGAAAACACCACTCATGTCCGTGCCGACAAGTGCCCCCCCCCCCCACTCACGTCCTGTCAGGGAAGTGGTGCACATAGGCCAGAGACTGCAGAATACTGCGGCAGCGGTGCCTGGTCGCACTGTCCGCCAGCCACGGTGCCGACTGCAGCTCCTCCACCTCGCGGCACACCAGCGCCGCCGCCCTATAACTCCTCGCCCCCAGGTGCAGCGCGCACACCAGAATCGCCTGCACCTCCTGCAGCCGATTCCCACTCAGCGCAGCGCTCCTCCCCGTTGCTCCTCCGCCTCCCCCGCCTCCGCCGGCGCCCTCTCCCCCTGCTACCACGTCAGCGAGCATGGTCCCCGTGGCAGCGTCAGGGGAGAAGAGGATGCGGTGGAAAAGCGAGGTGAGGATGGTGACTGGGTCCTTGGGATCGTCGGGGAAGAGGGGCTCCGGGCCTGAGAAGGACATGTGCTCGGCCAGCACCCAGAGGAGACGCACTCGGAGGGTGGACGAGGAGAGCTGGAGGGTGTAGCCCGTGGGGAGTGGGAGGGAAGTGACGGGGGAGAGAGAAAGCGAGAATGAGGAAAGGGGAGGGGGAGGAACGGGGAGGGGGCTGAGGGGCTCGGGGCCCGAGAAGGACATGTGCTCGGGCAACAACACCCAGAGGAGACGCACTCGCAGCGTGGACGAGGAAAGCTGGGGGTTTGAATTAGGGGGGAGGAGCGGAGTGGGAGGCAGCAGGGGGATGGGGGGGTGTGTGGGTGGGAAGGGGAAGGGGAAGAGGGGTTTGAGGGTTTGGGGCCGAAAACGAGCAGGTGTTTAGGTAGGACTCACAGGAAGCGCACTTGGAGCGTGGACGAGGAGAGCTGGGGAATAAACGGACGATGAAGAGGAGGGGGGACGGGCGGATGAAGAACGGGGAGGGGGCGAATGGGGACGGTAAGAAACCGGAGGCGGAGAGAGGGTTTGAGATAGAGAGTGCCTTGTGATGTGCTAGCAACCCGAAGGCTTGCACTTGGAACAAAATAACCCACGCACCACAGCACCCCTCTATCACACACCTACCTTCACACACACGCACACCCACCCACCCACCCACCCACCCACCGCCATAGCATCGTCCAGCAGGTGCCTTGGAGAAGCTGATCGTGGTGTACAGCCTAGCCTTTGTTCCGCCCTGATAATCTGCTCTGTCCAGAAACACACCTACGCACCTTGGGTCACTCACACCCACACTCACCCCCACACCCAAGCACACCCCTCGTCACGCACACCCGCCTCCTTAATGTCTTCCAGCAGCTGCCTCTGCAGCGTGAACAGCCTCTGCTCCGCCCTGAAAGCACACACATACTCCCACCTTGAGTCACACCCACCTTGAGTCACACCCACCTTGGGTCACTCACACTCACCTCCTTGGCGTCTTCCAGCAACAGCCTCTGCTCCTTCTAAATCCACACACATACACCCACCTTGGGTCACTCACACTCACCTCCTTGGCGTCTTCCAGCAGCTGCCTCTGCAGCGTGAACAGCCTCTGCTCCGCCCTGAAAGCACACACATACTCCCACCTTGAGTCACACCCACCTTGAGTCACACCCACCTTGGGTCACTCACACTCACCTCCTTGGCGTCTTCCAGCAACAGCCTCTGCTCCTTCTAAATCCACACACATACACCCACCTTGGGTCACTCACACTCACCTCCTTGGCGTCTTCCAGCAGCTGCCTCTGCAGCGTGAACAGCCTCTGCTCCGCCCTGATCTGCTCCGGGGTGGCCCCATCCTTGGCGCTTTTCACCCCGCCCGCCGTGTTATACACCTGGCACAGCCGCACCAGCAGCCGCAGGTAGCAGTCCACGGCATACGTGCGCCCCCCACACTGCCACCGCACGCACGCCCTGCACACCTCCACCACCTCCAGCGCCGTCTGCCCCCACGCCTCCCACCCTCCGGACGACGCCTCTCCAGAGACCACCGCAGCAAGGGACCCCCCTCTACCCGCCGCTGCAGCAGCAAAGGAAAACCCGGCCCCTGACTCTCCCCCGTAGCCTTCCCCAGGTATCCCTCCCCCCCCCACCCCTCCGGTTAACCCGCTTCCCATGCCGCCCCCTCCTCCCCCCCCCCCTGCCCCGAACCCTCCCGCCCCTGCTCCTGCTCCTCCCGCTCCTCCTCCTACTCCTCCCCCGCCGCTTCCACTAGCCAGCTGAAACGCGCTCTCTACCAGACAAGCAAGAAGCTCCTCCCTAAACAGCCCGCTCTCCACATTCGGCACCACTGACAACGCCAGCTCTTCCTTAATCTGCGGGTCGTCAAAGAGGGACGAGACGTCCGTGCCCGTGACGGGCCTCTGCCCCCTGCGCGCCGATTCCTTAGAGAACAGATCCACGCACAGAGCAGCGCGGCAGATGCTAGCCAGCGCGACCATCCGATCCGCCTCGGCTCTTAAGCCCCGGACCATGAGCAACAGGCGCTTGAAGAGCGCCGCCTGCGTGTGAATGTCTAGCAGCGGGAGGTTCGACACCACGGCTTTAACTATCGCCTCTCGCCCCGCTGAGTACTCCTGCCGATCCCATAGAGAGAGGAACGCAGTCACAGGCCCTGTCGCCCACTCCGGTTTCCCTCCAGGGACGGCTGCGAGAGCGAGGATCTGTAGGCCCACTTCGAAGACTATGGACGGGTCTAGGGACGCGAGGTAGGGGGATAGGTGCGTTACTATGTCTGCCACGCCCAGCATGCGCTCTGTGTTGACTAGGTCCTTGCGCTCCTCTGCTGCTGCTGCTGCTGCCGCCGCTAGTGTGTCTGACGAGACGGTGGCTGCTAGGGCGGTGGAGGACGAGGACGGGCGACGGGAGCCCACCCTGCTGCTGCTGCTGCTCCTGCTTACCTCCTCCTTTCCCTTGCCAGCCTTGCTCTCTTTCCCGTCTGCTGCTGCTGCTGCAGTGGCTGATGATACTCCTTTCTTCTCCTTACCCTTCCTCTTTCCGTCTTTCCCGTCCGCTTTCCCACTGCCACCACCACCGCCAGCGTCCCCATCAGCAGCACCAGCTCCAGCACTCAACCCAGCACTCCCACTCCCACTACTCTCCCCCTCTCTTCCTCTCCCCCCCCCAGCACCGCCGAAATCCCCCAGCCCTAGCAGATCTTCCCCGAAACCTCCCAAACCAGCCCCACCGTCACCAGTCGCACCCACAGACACGCTGCTGCTTCGTCGCCTCCGGGCTCCCTCCTCCTCGGGATTCAGCATCATTCGCAGATCGTCCACGAGGCCAGTCGCAAACGCCCGGGCGGCGTACGCAAGCGGGTAGATCGACGAGCGGAAGGCGTCCGGGGTAAGCAGGCCCGCACGCGCGATTAACATGTCCCGCTTCCCCCACACCAGCCCGGTCAGCGCCACCACCAGCTGCGCGCGCACCGCGGCGGAGGACTCGGTCGGAACGAGCCTCTGCGCAGCGATTCTACTCATTTTTTTCGTGGCGAATTCGGAAAATAGACGGCCCACGGCGTCGAATGCCGCCGCTGCGACTATATCGGAGGGATCTAGCATTGAGAGGCCGATCTGGCGCCACCAGAGCGAGACGCGGTCCAGGAGGGAGACGGACTGCGCGCAGAGATTAATTACGTCGTCGCGTAGGAGGAGGGTTCCGAGGGAGTCCATCGCGGCTTGTCTTAATCCCACGTGGTCGTGGACTATGCAGTTAGAGAGCTCCTTAGAGTGATCGTCGAGAAACTTTCCGACCCGCCAGCCCGGAAGCGCGACGACGAAGCGGAGCGCGGCGGCGGTGACGTCAGGATCCGGGCAGCTGAAATCATTGTGCATGCCCCGGCACACCACGTCCCAGTCGTCGTCCGTTAAGTGGCCCGCGGTGCGGAGCGCATCGTACGCGAGCTGCTTGCTAACAGCGTTCGCGCTGCCGGCGATTAACTCCGTGCAGAGGAGCGACGCGAGACAGGATACGTCCTTACCGCCGGCTGCCAGCTGTAAGGCGACTAGGATTGCGGAGGTCTGCCGGCTGACGTCATTAGATACTATGTCGCCCCGAATGGCTTGAAAAATGACCTGATCCATAACTGGAACGGTGAAGATTAAGGACGAACGAAAATCTGGAGAGCGCTACCGCCGCCGGCGCCGCCGGCGCCGCCCCTGCAGTTGGCTTATCGACGGACCGTTAGGACCCACCTCGGTTAACCAGGATATTTATGCTGGAAACCCCGATTTAGGTTGGAAAAACCGTCCACTTTAGAGAAACGGGTGCTGGTAGTAAACTTCCAGCAACGCGAAAACCGACATACTCTTAGGGGCCTTTCATAGCTACTGTCTGGCGGTTGCGCAGCTGAATGCCCTTAGACAACAGCCATGACTGTATTATCAGTTGCTTCTTCTGGGAACGGTCGTGTAAGTGAGTGCACAATTTCTTTCCAGATTTGGGCTCAGCTGTGAGCAGTGATTAGAGCACCCTGCGAAGCCGTGCGCAACATTGGGCGGGCTGCATTGGGCTCGAGCCAGGTCAGAAAACCGAGCCCGGCGCTCAGTCTTGCACAGAAATGCCGAAATACAGCATTTTCATTTGCCAATTTGTCCAACACTGAGCTGCGGGCTCGGTTTTCGCCCCAGCTCGGGCGTAATGTAGTCCGCCCTAATCTCGAGGGACTCTCCTCCACTCGCAGCGATAGTGTTGGGAAAACTTGCTGCCACGGACTGTCCACGAAACTTTTCAAACTCTCGTGGACAGGCCCTACTTTCATGGACACCACATCGAAGTTTCGCTTCTACCGTGGACTCCGTCATTACTTTCGTGGACTCCAGGCTTACTTCCATGGACACACGCATATTCGCAGTTAAAAAGGAGTATACAGAAATGTACAAGTGATTACGGGCACAAAAATCGAAATACTCCATACTATCTGTCCGTAGCAAGCCATACTATATGTCCACACTATCTGTCCATCACGAGCTACAGTATCGGAAACCAGTTCTGAAACAGAATCTCGGAGCTTTTCTGGGAAGAGTTTGCAGCCGTACTCAAATATGCAGTGAAAGTTAAAAAACATAGTGTATTAGGGTCCGCCTGATAGAAACACTTATCATTCAAATCAGAGCTACTGAACAAAAACATAATATGGACGTGCTTGACGAGCCAGCATAAATCAGTAGTTGTTTTCTCCTTCATAATACATTATTTCATTATTAGGAGTTCTCTGAACAAAAAAAAGCACCCGTGAAAGATATTTTTATAATCAATTATTTTTATTTGCATTAGTATATTTCTTTTTCACACATAAAATTATATTCCCAAAATTGTGAATCTACAATACTTGTATCATTTTTTCATCTATTATTATTTTATCAATACCTAAAACCTTCCATTTATATATCCATATTTAACAAACGTTATTGGTCTTTATAGATTTTGCACCTTCATTGAAAATTCAAGCTAAATATTAGTTGAAATGTTAGGAAATTCCTGAATTTATAGTATTCCCGATACTTGGTGGGCATAAATTCCAAACCGTTATCTTGGGAGTACTATGATTTTTACTGTGCTCTATTAACCTTGTAACCATAATATCTACCTTTATTCTACAACACGAATCTTTTGTAGAGAGATTTCGCCTACTCGATCTGCTACACTTGTATTTCAGCTAAAACTGCTTCTTCACAGTCATTCAGATGAGTTTAGAGGATCGCTTCATAGTTTCTTTAAACACGTGAAACAGTTAGCGGACTTGGTGACTTGCAATTACTGTAGCTTGCGACTATTTGCGAGGGACTTGATTACGCCATAATTTTGTTTTTTCCTCCCGTCAGCATCTGTACAATTCTTTTTTTTTTTTTTTTTTTTTTTTTCTTCAAATTCGCGTGTGTCCATGGAAGTAAGCCTGGAGTCCATGAAAGTATTAACGGAGTCCACGGGAGAAGCGAAACTTTGATGTGGTGTCCATTAAAGTAGGTCCTGTCCACGAAAGTATGAAAAGTTTCGTGGACAGTCCGCAGCAGCAATTTTCCCGATAATGTTGGCTCAGATAAACGGACGAAAAAAGGTACACCTACTATTTGAGGCGGGCTATACGGGTGCACTCAAAGTTGAGTGGGCCGATCAAGGTTTGTTGCACCTTATTCCAGTTTGCATCACAATTTGATCAGCTACAACAACTAGGAAAATGTTTTGAAAGGTTCAAAAAAATTATTGGATCAATCAATGACTCCAGATTTGCCTATCCTGTTTACAAGCATGTTTTGCATAGGACAAACAACAGCATCAGCCAAATTGCTATCCCCAAGTCTCTCCTACCAAGGATGAATAAAAACAGGGGTGCTGGACTGGACAGCCCAAGATGTAGAAGTAAACCAAGTGTTCAGGGTGGCCAGGATCTAGAGTTGGTGGAACCACGAGTAAAAGTCAGCAGAAGACTTAACACCTTGTATTGGAAATGCCCGAAATGACAAGGATAATAATAATGAGGAATGCATGCATATTTACAGTCTAGGAAGAACCTATTCGGATGTACCTGTTCGTAGTGTATCGCGACTATTCGCGTGATATGACTAGTGACTGTTCGTGTGACTGAGAGTGGCGTGACCCTTCGGATGACTATGCGCGCGAACCTACAGTTCCCGCATTGACTCGCTACTGCTGACGTCATCACGCGCGTCCTTACATATGAGGTATCGCGTATTAGGTTATCGAGAGAATCAATGACTAAGCAAAAGTGTCGAGGGGTACAAGAATAGTGCTGTACCCTCTAAGAATTGTCTTACTAGGCTATATACAAATATAACATAGCTAAACTAGAATTATATTTGTTGACACACCACCTAGCCTAGATATTGGCAGTTCATAACAAGGAAACGTACACCAGGGCGGCACTACTAGTCTGACCTCTGGTGAGGGTAACAAGACAACTCAGTGCAGCACTACTAGTCTGACCACTGAGACAAGAGACCACAAGGCCAGTCAGCAAGTGTAGCAAGGCAAGCAGGTATAGTATGGCTCAAGATACAAGGAGCGGTGGTGCTATAGAAGCTAGACCAAGCTGAGTATAGAACCATTGATGGTCCCGAGGCGCAAGTGCCTTGGTAAAGATATCAGCGGTGTTGGCCTCTGAGGCCAACTGTACTACACGAACCTGACCGCACTGCTACAACTCACGCAACAAGAAGTACCGCAGCTGGATGTGCTTCGCCTTGCCCTCAAGTCGACCCTCCTGGCACAAGAGGATCATGGCCCTGTTGTCAGCAAACAGGACCGAGGAAGAGCTAGGCTGCTCTCCTAAGTCTTTGAGCAAGAACGTCAACCAGCGGAGCTCCTGAGCGGCCATGGCCCCAGCATAGATCTCTGCCTCATAGCTAGACTGAGCTGCAGACGACGACCTGGTGTTCCTCCACGAGATTGCACCAGCACCAAGACTAAAACAGTAGCCTTGAGATGACCCGAGCATCTCCAAGTCGTCAGCCCACGACGCGTCTATGTGTCCAGTGAGCACCACTGGCTCCTGTCCTCCTAGCACAAGCTCGGGTCCTGATGTACTCACCAGATACCGCAGTACCCTCCTCGCAGCCGACCAGTGGACTGGTCGGTGCCTGCCTGTCGCAACAAAGCAAGCTAGGAGACTGAGGGGGTACACTAGATCTGGTCGAGTGCATGTCATTAGGTACATGAGGCACCCCACAATGTATGGATCACTAGCCTCGACCGGCTCAGCCTGAACAGGAGCAGAGAGCTTGTGATAGGAACTCCAGCACCCCCAGAGTCCACGAACGGCTGTTGCTGCGGGGGCAGCGACTGCTGCGGCGGCGGCTGCGACGACGGCTGCGGCGGCAACTGCGTGCGGGAGGCATCATCCAGTCGTACACCCTGCCGGACTCCCCACAGCAGAATGGGGTTGCTGAGCGATGCATCAGCTTGGTCATGGAGGTGGCTCGTACCTCCATGATCCATGCCGGCTGGTGCACCTCATTTTCTATGGCTGTTCGCTATTCGCTACGCTTCTCACCAGCTGATCCTGTGGTCCCACTCCCAGCGGCCGCAGGTTTCCCCGACCCTCCTCTGGACCGGGTCTCCTGATGACGCGTCTGCGTTCCACGTCTGGGGATGCCTCGCTCATGTTTTTGCCTACGGCACGGACAAACTCACTGCTTGCAGTGTCCACTGTATCTTCCTTCGCTCCCCCCTTGTCTCGTCTGATTGGCACTTCTACGACCCGCCGTCTCACCGCTTTCTTCACTCGCGTAATGTCATTTTCGACGAGTCTATCTCATTTTACCGTCGCTTTCCCCACCAAGGTCTCCCAATTTCCCCACCGAGGTCTCCTAGTCTCTCAGCGTAAGTGCGAGGGGTCGGGATGTCAAAGGCGTCTAGGTCACCCTCAGGGACTAACAGCATGGAACAGAGATGGGGAGCAACCTCGGACAGGAAAGCAAGCTTGTACTGCCTGTCCTCAAGGACGTCATTGCCCCCGACAAACGGAGGGCAGGCAGGACCAGAGACCAAAGGTGTGGCGTAGTGAAGGTGCTTGGTAGAGGCGAAGTCGGCGATAGCAGCGACAAGAGCGTCAAGACTCGAGACAGGAACAGACGGGTCGGTAAAGAGGAAGGCAAGGACCCGAGGAACAAGAGGACGTGCAGCCAGAGGGGGAGGCGCGACAAAGAGCAACGACGGAGGTGGAGACGGGAGGAGGGGAGGACGAGACACGTGGGAACGAAGCAACATAGGGTGAGAACGTGGAACAGAAGAGATAGGACGAGCACGAGAGGGACGGCGAGACTAGACGTGGGACGGAGGCGTCGGGTCAGGAGACAGAGGAGGAGAAACAGGGGGGAAACGAGGCGGGAAACGAGCGGGGGACGAGTCCGGCGGAGGAAACACATGACCGTGGACGAAAAGGGGAGGAGGCGGCAAAGGAGGGGCAGGCAAGCGGTCAGGGGAGGGAAGGCTGTGCAGGCAAAGGGCGGACATCGGCAACGTCTGCTGCTGCTGCTTGCCGACGCCTACACCTGGACCGCCAGCTGCACCACGGCTACCTTCGGAACACTCCACTCCAACACCCCCAGAGCAAGCACCCCCAGAGCGCGAACCCTCTCCAGCACCGGTGCCACCCCCGAGCACGCCGGGACAAGCCACGATAGGAACCCCAGGACTAGCACCCTCCTCAACACCAGCACCCCCAGAGTCCACGAACGGCTGTTGCTGCGGGGGCAGCGACTGCTGCGGCGGCGGCTGCGACGACGGCTGCGGCGGCAACTGCGACGACGGACCGAATTGACGACGGTAGAGGTCGTCCAGGCGGTGAAAGCAGCGAGCGACGATGTGCCTTGCTCGCCCGC